TCGCGGAGAAGACAACTCGGGACATTCTCTCCTGATTGGTGCGTCGTAGGCTCACGGGGCGGGATTAGGGATCACGCCCGTCTTTCTGGCGTGAGGGGGAGGTGGTGGGTGCCGCGCGCTGTGCCAACGGTCCTAACGGCTGGCTGGGGGCAGGGGCGGGGGCACGACAGTGTCATGGCGCCCCGGGCAGTGCCGCCCTCCCTCTGCAGGTACCTTCCCCACGCCGAAATGCTTGCTTTTCAATCTTAAGTGGCGTGACGGCACCGTCATGGCTCCACTCTGTAGTGATGGGAAAAAATGGTGTCAGTAGTTGGGGGGAAAAAAAAAAAGGGTGCAGAGTTTGGTGCTGGTAGAGATATCACCTTCCAGCCCTAAAACACTGCTCCTGATGTGTTGAGTTGTAACCTTGCTTTTCTCTAAAGACTTCCCACTGGCGTGCAAAGAAGGTGCTTACTAGATTTTCTGAAATATTCCTTTACATGGAACCAAACCCAGCCACTATATCCGAAGTATGTTGCTCTAAAAATACTCATTGACCTGTCGTACACTCCCAAAACAGGACACACTTTAACCCCCACAAAAATACCACTTCCAAGGCCACTGGCCAGGACTGCACAGTCCTCGAAATACTGCCTCCTCCAGACCTTCAGGTCGCCAGACCTTGGCTCCATGAAACTTCGCTGACAGAAGCTTGACAACTACGTCTGCGTGTGTGAAAGAAAGGGGGGATTTCTGCATATTCAATTTGCTTGTGGAAAATAGCAGGAAGAATGTGCGCATGCAGATCCCCTGATTTCTTCATTTAACCCCATTTTGCACCAGGAGGTGTTGGTCCATTACAATCCCAGTAAGAAAGGCACTTGGACTTTGTAAAGTATCATCTGCAATGCTATTTATTTACAGTGCTAATGGAAGAGAATAGCATAGATGATCTCACATCCCTTTGGACAGTGTAGCATTGAGTGGTCCACTGGCCCACACACAGCCTGCTGTACAAACCTCCTCCATAGCAGAGATTCTCCCCTTTCGGTCTTTCAAGTTTTATAAGGTTTGCTTACAAGGAAAAAAATCATAGAATCATTTAGGTTGGAAAAGACCTCCAAGATCATCAAGTCCAACCATTAACCTAGCACCGCCAAGTCCACCACTAAACCACATCCCCAAGCGCCACATCTACACATCTTTCACATACCTCCAGGGATGGGGAAATCCATCATTTCTACAGCCAAAACCGAACCAATGCCCTCATGAGACCTTCTTGCTGCTCTGTTAGATAAAGGCAGGGCCGGGCAGGAGGCATAATGGCTGGTACCGAGCGGGAGCTGCCTGCAGGCTCCTCTGTAACGACGAGCTGTAACGAGTTTACCCCGTGCCCGAGGGATGTGCGCAGCACGGCACGGCCTGAAGGCCAGGCCATACCTGCAGCACAGCCCCACGCGGCCCCGGCCTGCGCCTGCCCGGGGTAGCCGTCCTGGGGATCACTGACCCCTCAGTGTGCAGTGGCGGGGGCCACTACAGCCCTAGGACACTGACAGCTCTGGTATTCAGCTGAGGAATTCTTTATTCTTGTGGTGAACTTTATAACGACATTGCATTCTTCACATTTTATTAGCTGTGTGCTTATTTCCTTACAGATAGTTATTTTTCCTGGATATTTTTGGGGTTTGCTTCCCATTAAATACATCGAGTTCCCTCTGTATCCTGAGAGTTCACGCAATGCATGTTAAGCCCTGCTGTTCCCTATATCAGCAAAGGCCTTGAAAATGGTTTCTTCATGGAGGAACTCTCTCCTTATGACAGTGGGGCTGTTTCAAAGGAGGTGGGTCACCATGTAGTGTAGTGAGTCTCTGGTTGAAGGAGGCCCTTTAAAAATAAATAAATTATTGCAGCAGAAGTGAGTATGTTAGGGAAGTACTGGCACAGGGTACAGAACTGGGAGGGGTGGTCAATATGCCAGAAGGTCATGCTGCCATCCAGATGGATCCAACAGGCTGGAGAATGGTCTGACAGGAGCATCAAGAAGTTCAACAAAAGTAAGTGCAGAGTCCTGCACTTGGGGAGGATCAAGCCCCTGCACCAGTACATGCTGGGGGGTGACCGGCTGAAAGCAGCTTTGCAGAAAAGGACTTGGGCATTGTGGCAGACACCAAGGTGAACATGAGCCAGCACTGTGCCCTTGTGGCAAAGAAGGCTACCAATATCCTGGGCTACATTAGGAGTGTCACCAGCAGGACAAGGGAGATGACCCTTGCCCTCTACTCAGGAGTGATGAAGCCACCCCGGAATACCATGTCCACCTCTGGGCTCCCCAGTATGAGAGAGACATGGACATACTGGAGGAGTATGGCATATGTACTGGCCACAAAGATGACTGAGGGATGGGAGCATCTCTCCTGTGAGGAAAGGCTGAGAGAGCTGGGACTGTTTAGCCCAGAGAAGAGAAGGCTTGGGGGGGGATCTAATAGGTGTGTATAAATAGCTGAAGGGATGGAATGAAGAAAATGGATCCAGACTCTTCTCAGTGGTGACCAGGGGCAATGGCCACAAACTGAAACACAGGAGGTTCCACCTGAACGTCAGGAAACACTTTTTTTACAGCGAGGGTGACTGAGCACTGGCACAGCTTGCCCAGAGAGGTGGTGGAGTCTCCCTCCTTGGCGACATTCAAAAGCCGTCCGGAGGCGGCCCGGGGCAGCCGGCTCTAGGTGGCCCTGCCCGAGCAGGGGC